CACATTGCCACATGAGGTGTTATGATTTAAACTTAGACATAAATATATATAATATATTATTATATAAATAATATATGTAATATATTGTTATATAAAAAGTTATATAATTTTTTTATTTCGAGCTAAAACGAGTCGAACACGAGCGAACAAAGAGCTGTTCGTGTTCGGCTCGTTTATAATTCGAGCTTTAAAAATTTGTTCGTGTTCAGCTCGTATACTTAACGGACGTGTCGAACACGAACTACTTAACGAGCCGAACACGAGCTGTTCGCGAACAACGAGCTTTTTCGAACGGATTGTTAGGATTCTAGGATCCAAATTGTGGCTCTTTAAAGCCTCACCACCGGAACTTCCTTTTGATGATCATGGAGAAACTTGGAAAAATGGGTACGCAATCCAAGGAGAAGGGAGGAGAATGACAGGGTATGCAATTTGAGGGTAGTTATAGAAAGAAATGATATTGATAGTGGTTTGCATTTTAGAAACTGCAATTGGATGGGAATTGGGCAAAATACAAGATGGATTAGAACTATCGATTTATGGAAAATCTAGAGCATATGCCAATAAAATCCCACTACAGCTGATCAGTTAAATTTTGGCTGAAATTTGTTCGTCGTAAAATGCTCTGCCATAAAGGTATTTTCTGCTGAACATTTTCGTCACTAAATATTTTCGGTGGATTAATAGTGAAACAATTTGCCATTGAAGTTTTAGCAATTGATAAAATCATCCACTAAATTTGCAGCAGACAAACGAACGATTATCCGTCATAAATTTAGTGGTGAAATTAGCAGCTGAAAATTTGTTTGCTAATCAGTCGGACAATATAGCAATGAATAAAAAGAGAGTTCCTAACCATTGAAATTTTACACATCTGCAATCACAAAGTTAAAGTATTAGCATGCATATTCATAAGATATCATAACAACATAAAATAACAAATAGAAAACGAGATTGAACGATAACATAACAAATATAACAACAAATATCAATAAATCATCTATTACAATAGTGTCTAATCCGTAAAATACATGAACGAAATACAAATAAAATCCAACATGCATTGGGAGAAAATAATGCTAATCGTATTGTTGTCGCTGCTCCTCTTGTTCTTTCTCCACCAAAGGTCGTTTGCCTCGACGATGTGCTTGGCTCTGCAACTGCTCAATAGCAGTTTCCATCCCTGGAATCTGGAATTGAAGGTGGCCCTTAACTCCTTGATCAGTGCGGTCAAACTCTTGGAAACTTCATCATCAATCGATGATGAACTTTGGCTGGAACCGGAGTGTTACACCTCAGACAAATTTCTCTGTATCAAGGTGTTGACCTCATTTTTTGGTGAGGGTTTGTGTCTTTCCCTTAGTGACTAGGATCTGGCCTTAGAATTTTTCTGATGACTATCTTAGCATCTTTGAAATGGTACCCACCTTCTTCTTAGACATTTCAACCAAATCTTTGTTCTCTATATTGGTTCTATATGTGATAAATAATCACAAAGATTCGAGATTACATAAAGATTACATAAGGGAACCCTGATGAGAATTCCTATAGGACCCATGAACTATAGAAAAACCTTGCACTATTCTACACCTTTCTGGACTTCAATACATTGCATCATCATTCATAATCATCATGATCATCATACACATTGCATTTTCGTATAACAATGTTGCAATCATCTCACTCATGGGGCTGACCAAAATTATTTGAACCCAGTTTCTCTTAAAAAATACCCCACTTGAATATTTCAATTCTTCAAAATTCCCCAAAAAACTGTCATTGAATCACAAAATTCACTTCAAACCATTTGATATTATCATTTAGATCATTTGAATCCCAAAAATTGCAAAAATATATAATTTTCCCAAAAAAATTACCAAAATGCACCTGGACCCCCAAAATATCAATTTTTTTTTTAAAATCTCCTAGAGTCACCGATAAGTCCTAAAAATCACACCAAATCATTCCTTATGTCTTCCTGAAAAATTTGACTGTAATATTGCCATACTTCTGGATAACTTTTTGGGGATCTTAAAAACCTTCCACATTGATCGAAAATGACCTCGAACACTTTTGTTTGACTCCAAATTTCTTTCTGAACCACCTCGAGCCTCTGAACCACCTCGAGCCTTTAACCACCTCGAGCCTTTAAATCAACCTTTTGAGCACTTTGACCAAAATCGACCAAAATGACCAAAATGTCACTCATGGACAAAAAATTTTCTAATCCTCTAAAATCATTTCAAACACTCCTAAAATCAATTCTTGACCATCCATTTGATCCAATCTGACCAAATTCAATCTGACCAAATTCACTCACCAAATTCACTCACTTTGGCCAAAATCCCCAAATTGAGCTTAATGATCAATCATTTATCTCAATTTCAAATTCACATCAAATTCAACAAACCTAGATCCAATTTCAAATGAACCGAAATCTATTTAATTTGCTCATGATCAATTTTCAAAACAATTGATCGCGAATCAAAATTTTGACGAAAATTAAATTTGACTCATTTTTGACCCGATCATCAGAAGGTCACTCGAACGACTCTGGATAATAAAACGGACCACGAGAGTGTATTCGGAATGTAAATTTTGATTTGAAGAGCGTTCATTCCATTTTGAAGATGTGTCCGGATAAAAAAAAAATGCGCGAACGATAATAATAATATTATATATATATATATATTATCTAGTTTAAATCATGAGAGCTCGCATAATCATATAGTTTAGTGTCTTCTTTTGCAAAGAGATGATGCAGGTC